TGTTTCTCAAGAAATGCACATTTGGCTAGGATTTTGATTTGCTAATTATGGGACTCTAAATGTTGAGCTACATAAGCGAAACAGGATGGGTGGCTAAAGGGCTCTGATTCAGAAAAAGAAAGTGATGGATTTATTAGACTGAGGTTTCAGTTTTGTCTTGAAAATCAGAAGGTTTCTCTTAACTGTCCTTCCTTTAAACAATGATGTTTCACTGTTCTGTAACAGCATGAGTTAAAAATGTCCTATTTGTTTACTGTTAACTCACTGATCTGCATTGCAATGTAGCTGCAGACCCAGTGATTCCTGTAGTGATCTGTGTGCCACCTTTGTTTTACTGGCATTGTGGTTTTTAGATACAGTTACCATGTCTTGGTCTTAGCTACTTTTACATTTTTTCATCCTTTTCTATTTCAGAAAGAAAACCTAGTGTTTACAGACTTCACATACCCTGGTCACATGAAGACTCAATAACTGTAGCAAAGTAAGGACTTTACCAATTATAACTTACTTGGTATATTTTTTGAAGAGTGTTTACATCCCATTGTGGTAATATTTCTGATATGAGACAGTTTCTCCAGTCTTACGTGTTTGGCTTCTGCATCTGTTCCTTATTTACCTTTCTGCCCTTGTTGACAAAGTTGTTTTGACTTTTCCTCAGAATAACAATACCTGCTAATTGCTTGCTTAATGGTTCTCAGTAATATTCTCAAAAAATAAGTCATTTTTCCTGGTCTGAAATTCTCAGCATGATCCTTTGTCCCCTCATGAATGGCAAATGGAGGCTGCTCTGGATGCTGGCTGCTGCCTCTGAGCCAGGGTTTGGGCCACACTGCAGCCCTGAGTTTGCTTCAGCAGCACAGTCCTGACATAATCAAATTATATGGCTTGAAATACGTCATTTATGAATTGAAGCTGAACAACCTGACTTTGTTTTAGATGGCTGGAAAACTCTCTTCCCTCTTTATTTTAGAAGTCTTGAGGATACCTCCTGATTTCCCTTTGTACTCCCTGTATTTTCTAACAGCATAATACTTGCAGGAAGCTGAACTGTGCTCTTGGGAATCTGTCCTTTCCACTCCTTTCACTGGGCTCATTTCCATGTGCTGTGAGGCAGTGTGTTTTCATTACTACCACACCCCTGGGTGCTCCAGAGGAGGGAGGATTGAGAATGTTTTGTAGTTCTTTGTGATGGGATGAACAGTTTCCTTTATACCACTTCACTCATAGCTCATGGTGACGTTAGGTGCACTAGGTCTGCCTTGCCTAAAAACACATATAACTATATGCAGATTTTGCTTGGAAAGTGGCCTTTTAATTGTTTTAAATGTACTTTACTGAAATGTGATAGTTTATTTTTTTAAACATTTGTCTTGACTAGGAAAAAAACACTAAGGCCTGTTTGACTCTGTTTTTTGATGACAAGGACCACAGTTCCCATTGTAAGTTTCTGTTTCAGAGTTCCATCTCTTACTGAGATCTCTGCAAAGCTGCACATTGCTCAGCCTCCAAATGACAGCAGGGTTCCAGAGTTAAATATCCACTCTTCCTCAGACTGCCAGTACCAAGTGAGTAATAAACTTTTATTTTATAGCTAGTTTGCATTACTGTATAATTTGGCATAATTCAGTCTTTGAAAACACATGACTGATTAATCAAAATGAATGCTAAGCAAACCTCAGGGTGGGCTGTTTGGCCTTTTTGGGGCACGGAGTGCATGTTACAAGTATTTCGCAGCAGTTGGAGTGATACTGAAAGTTGGACTCTCTAGGAAAACTTGAAAGCATTTGTTTTTAAGAACTCAGTAATAAGCTGTTACACGTTTTGGTTGTGGGATTGCTGTAGTCTAATACTTTAGTTAGCTTCTCAAAACTTAATTTGTACTTATGCTTCACTGTTGTATAAAGTAATAAAATACTGATTTTTATTTTTTTTTCCCTAATCAAGGTAGTTCTGAAGACATCACTTCCACAGGTTCTTGGGCAAGTAAGAAAGCCTAATACTAAATTGTTTTCTATGTCAGTAGCTTCTATAGAAATTTTTGCTTCCTCCCTTCCCTACTGTGGCACTTAGATTCCTTCTTGATGCCAAGAGGAATGCTACTCAATGACCATTTTTCACCCTTGTCACTTGGCAAGGTATCTCATCTGGATAAATGTCAGGCCTCAGCTTTCAGAGGAGAAGAAAAGCACTTTAGCTCTAAAGAGCTACTGTGAATGTGGAGCATTTGGCTTTGTGGTTAGCTCAGTATCTGTAAAGGGATGACACTGTAGGTCACTTTAACTTTCTTGCCTGATGAGTCAGTAGACTTTAAAATACATTTGGCATCAATTAAAAGTTAGGGAAAAAAGTCTAAGTAGATCCATATGCTCCTTTTCAACAAATTTCCTTTGGTTATCAATGAAGAATACATTTCAGCATGGTATCTGTAAAAATAGACTTAGCCATCTGTAGTTTGCTGCTTCTCATAAGTAATCCATTTGCAACCACCTAAGGTGAGTGCTGGAATATTACTGGCAAGTTGTCTATTTGCATGTATGAAGGATATTAATTTTATTGTTATTTTAGATGAATTTGTGTGCTATTTGTGTATTAATCATGACTTGGGAGAGTGGAAGCCAATTAAAACACACATGTAATTGCTTCTCAAAATTCTTTGCCTAAAAACATATATAACTATATGCAGATTTTGCTTGGAAAGTGGCCTTTTAATTGTTTTAAATGTACTTTACTGAAATGTGATAGTTTATTTTTTTAAACATTTGTCTTGACTAGGAAAAAAGCACATTTGTTTAAAATTTGGTCATTAGCCATTTATGAGAGATTCCAGTATTTTCCATAGTAACATTAATTGCCAGTGAAGATTGTCAAATGCATCAAAATGAGAAACTGTTTGAATCCTTTAAGAAAGATTTTCTCATCACATTATTATCTTGGCGTCATGATAATATCTGTGTGTGTGTTTTTTAATAAATTTTTATTTTACCAGTTATCCTCATATCCTTGTCTTTCAGATCATAAGGTTCCATGCTGGTGCTTTTCCTGTCTATATTGTTTCTAATATTCTTCTTGCTTATGGAGGACAGCTGAGGACATTGAGATCAACAGGTAACTTTCTAGAATTAGTTTTTTCTGTCACAAGTGTTTTTAGAGAAATTACCTACCCAGTTTACTGATGAAAGACTAGCTGGCTGTGAATTGGTTGAAGCTAAGTATCATTCAGCATATGCAAATACTTGGATCCATGCTCTTCAGTTTGTTTTTTGTTTGCTGGCAATTCTTAAGGTTGTGTTGTAGCAGATTATTTTATTTTGAAGTCCCTTATTTGCCAGTTATTGGTGTTGCACAATATTTTGGAATAAACAGAAGTCCTCTTAAAAAATACATGTAAAAGTTTAAAATATCTTAAGTTTAAAGTTTATTTAAAGTTTAAAATATTTTAATATGCAGAAAACACTTTATTTCTTGCACAAAGATGAGATTGGCAGAATAGTTTTGAGCCATGTCTTCAGAGAAAATGTGGTTAAATTTAAATTTGGGTGGTGCTTGTAACAAACTCCATGATGTCTCTAGAAGTTCTTGTGACATATTACCTAGTGTGAGTGATCCAGTGAATCACTGATGATGAAGAATGCAGCCAGCCATGTCCTATAACAGTACTGCCAATCCTGTTTTCCAGTAAACTTTCAAAGTGTTGTCTGAGTTTGTTTTTTGTTGTGGATGATCTTTGTTGAAGTTCATGACAAAACTGTAACTATAGATGCTCTTTGTTCTTGATTCTAGGCCAGTGTTCAGACTTTGCCCTTGAACTAGTTAGGACAGCTAAGCCCTACAAAGTAGAACCTCTTATAAGCGTTGTTGTGTTTCTGCAGGGGTGAGTTTGCATGACTTGTTTATTTATATAAAGCAGTTTCCGAAACAGAAGTTCCAGTAAAACTGTTGCTGGGGAGGAATGTTGTTTTGTATCTAGTCATTGTGAACACCTGCCTGTGACTTTGTTTGCAAGGCTGTAGTAGGAGGAATAGTTGATAGATACTTTACTCTGACAGCCGCTGGGAGTGACAAATAACACTGCTTTCATGTTTTTGGCAGGTTTCACTGGTTTAGAGAGATGTGGGAGTCACTGTCCCTGCCAGAGGTGGATGCTGCTGTGCTGACTAGTCAGGATGCATGGTTCCCCCTTGTGTCCCTGATTCTATTTCTTTTTGGGACAGGCATTGCTTACTGGAGTGCTGTATTTTTCTCTACATCTCTGAGACTCTTCTCTTCATTATGGTTAACCCTGATTAGGTAAAGCAACATGATGCTATAAAATTATGCTCCTGTAGATGATTTTGACCCTGACAATGTTTTCTGTTTGCTTATGTGAATACTTGGGCAGATTGAATTCTGCAATGTAGTTCATACATGGTTTTAGACATATGGCTTTCATAGTGTTAAGAAGTAAAAAAATATGATGATTGCCTCCTTCCTTATTCCACTTCTCCAAAAGGGAAAATAAATGGCTTTCTTGTTGCCTTCCTCAGCTGTTACAAAGGTTTTCAGTTTGCTTTTGAGGAAAACTTGAGCAGAAGAAAGCAACTGAACTTTCCCTTTTGAGCAGCTCAGAAAAATAAATGTACATATTTAGAATAGGGACTCTAGTAATTAGAATCCATTCTTCACCACTGATACTGGATAAACTGCAGTAAAACAGGTTTCTAAAACAAAATCTCCTTGGATGTTCATTTTACTCTACAAGGCTGATCAGTTATATATATACACCTAAGAACACTGGAATGGTTTTGATTGTATAGGTGAGTGTTCAAACAGGGAAGTAGTTTTAAACAAGTGAGGAAGAGAAAAAGATTTTGAAAGAGTAAATGAGTAAACCTGATAACATGCTTATTCCACGTCAGAGTTGTAGTGGTTTGGTTGCTCTGACACAGTAACAGTCCTCAGTTAGACCTGAGGCAACTCTCTGTCTCCAGAGAGTTGGTTGAGTAAATATCCACTAAATGATGTATTTCTTATTTCATCACTGGCACTTCTGGTTTTGACTAAATAATAAATGTAGTGTCAGCTATTTTTTCTCAGCCATCTTGTTTATAAATCACAGTGGATGCTTCAGTATTAGTTTTAAGTGGCAAACTGATGAACTTGTAAGTTTTGAAATTATTCCTACTAAATTTTTAAGGTTTTATCTCAATTCCATACTCTTTTCATTAAATCTTTTGATTTCCACCCTGAGAATGCCTTGGGCAGAGGTAGGAAAAGAAGATTTTGTGTGCCTACCTGTAAGTCAGAAGGTTCATTTTTTAAATTCTAGTGCCTGACACAGTTCTAATACCTTACATGGGTTTGAGCTACTCCTGAATTTCATGGGGAAAAAAGAAACCCCAAATTTTTCTATAAATTTCTCTAAAGTCTACAGTGTTCATTTGAGTTTTGCTTAGTGTTCTGAAATGATCTGACATGGCCAGCAGTAAAGAATTTGGCACTGTGGAATTCTTTGTTCTTGTCAGCTTCTTTTGGTGATGATTTTCAGTATTTGCTGCAAAGGCTCTTACAGCTGAATTTTCCAAACACTGTTTTTTTCCATTTTCAATGTCTATTTAATACTGTAATATACAAAAAGTACAGACTTTTTCATAGCTCTGTTGCACTTCCTCCCCACCACGTTCCCTTCATTGTCACACCTTCTCAGCCCATCGTTGTCATCTCAGATTCATGTTTGTCTTTTAGTCATATCAGCTGGAATCCAGAAACTTAAAATAAGCATTTCTGTGTGTCTCAGACTGTGTTTTTCACAGAGTGAACCTCCTGGAGACTTACTGTGGTATTCAGCTGTACTATTTTATGTTCACCAATATATCGCCTATGTTCCCCAAACAAGTAATAAATTAGTTACAGACATGCATTCTAGAAGTTGTAATACTGTTTTGTTAGTTCATTTGATAAAGTTTTTCTTACAAAGTAGTTTATGCAGCAGTTAATATGTATGTTAACATTCGTCAAACTTTATTTTTCCAGTGTTAAATCTATATTCAGGAACAATTTATTCTTTTTAGTCATTCACAGAACTATTGTTTGATCTTTATAAGATGTGACAAAGGTATAATGGTAGTTGTGTTTGATTTTTTTTTTATTATTTATTTTAATTTATTTTTTTTTTTTTAGACCAACTGTGCTTCAGAAAGATAAGCTGATTACACCTAGAAGACTCTGTGGGGTGTTATCTCTTGCTTTGGTTAGCTGGACCACTTGTGGTGCATTTGCTGTATTCATTGTTTATCTTCACTATTTGGTTAAGGTACTGAACCTTTTTATCTGAATGGAAAACTTTGGATGCTTTGAATTACCCCCATGTTAAAAGCAAAACCATTTTTCGTACAGAAAAGAAATGTAATTATTCTCATACCTGAAATAGGTATTTTTTCAATTTGTCATTCTCATAATCTTGTCATTTTTAGATTCTTTTTTATTTTTTTTTAACACCTCCTCCAAAGAAATCCATGGTCCCATGTGCCCACTATGACAGTGCACAGAACTGCAGTTCTTAACTTATGGATAGGTAATGTTATGAAATCAAAGACTAATAACTTCCTGGAAGAGAAACTTTAGCAAATGGTGGACTTGAAATGTGTGTTCTGTGGAATACTTTATATCTTTAAAGACTTTTCACGAATCTTTATGGAGTAAAGGGAAGGAAGGTGGATATACTGAAGAATTAGGAAAGTCTTCTTGTATGTCTAATCTGATCCCTTGGGTAGTGGCACAGAGATCCATATTTAGTCCCTGCCATTCAGTTTCCATGGTCTTCTTGCATCACAGCATCAAACTCCTCTGATTCACCCTACGGCTATAGAACTGTTAGCTGCTATACTTAGCTCCCAGGGGAGCAGGGAGCTTGCCTCTGGGAGTGGGGCACAGAGCAGCTCTCAGGTGTCTGCAGCAGGTAGGTGGCAGCTGCAAGCACAGCCTGAGGAACAGCACCAGCTCTAACTGTGACACAAGGTTACCCTGCCAAGGATGTCCCCATGGTGACATCACTTCTGCAGTGCATCTCTGACATGGAACTTCTCCTAGGTGGCCTGTTTATAGGTTTCTGCAGGAAGTGAAGTAGAACTAAATTAGCAGGAGAAGGTGAGGAATATGCAGATTTCCCCCTCTGTATTCTCTGTTCAGCATAGTAGAACAGGAGAAAGCAAAACAACCTAAGTTTTGTCTCTGTGTTTGGAAATCCTTCCTTAATAGAGCACTTTGGATACTGCTGATAAAAAAGGGAGAGGGAATTCTTGCATTGCAGCTCCATTGGGGCCCTAGAATCATCCAGCTATAAAAAACAGAATAAAAAATAATGAGCCTTCAGGGTTTTTTTCTATACTGGAGCTTTTGTGTGAAGAAACATTGCTAAAAAGGCTGAACTGTCTTACAGGTTATCAAACTGCATGTGAACGTAAGAGCAGAACAAAACATGCGCAACAGGGTAAGTCTGTTTCCTGCTTCTGTTCCACACTGTGACCAAAAATTGCTTGGCAAACTTAGGCATTATGGATTGTTTTCATCTTGCCTTGGTAGAACCAAGTTGTGCTGCTGTGACTGGACAGCTGTAGTTCACCTGCTGAATATGTGATGCAAAGGAGAAGCCAGAACTACCTGTTCTTCTTTGCTAAAACAGAACACAGTTAAAGTAACATGCCTGAAAAAGTTGTTGAAATTTTTCTTTGGGTTTCTTTGAGTAGCATTTTTGTGTGCTTAAATTCTCTCCTCTCCTTTCATCTCCATATAATTTTGTTTTGTTTCATTTTTGGGGTTTTTTTCCCCGTCATTGGAAGTTAGTATCTGCCGACTCACTACTATATCTTTGCTATTTATTCCTGCAGCTAGTATTTCACTCTCAGTTGCATTACGTCTTATATCTTTTCTGTGAATGACCATCTGTGACTTTTCACCCTTACGCTTTATTACTCCTTTTATTCTGTTCTTCCCCCTTCCAGGAACTCCATTTCCTACCACTGCATTGCTGTCAGGGCATCTCCACTCTCCATTCTTCTCTTCCAAAGACATATAGACTATTAGTGTATGAGAAATTTCTGGTTAAATCTAGATGCTTTAAAACTGAATTACTGAACTTCACTTTTGATGGCCTTTTGAGGCATAAATTGCAAATTTTCTTGCAAAATCAGAGGTGGTGTGATACTGTTAGGCTGTTTTTTCCTTCTTCTTTCCCCAGCATGGGTTCTGACAAGCCTGTGCACATTTTTGTGACTTTTATTTTCAGGGTTCAGACCACTCAAAAGAAGCTTCCCAGAATGCCAGTATGGAGAGCACCAAACCCCAGAGCTTGCTGGACAGTGCTCCAGAAGCAGCACAGTCTCCTTCTGACCATACAACCATTGCTGAAGCTGTTAACAGTCTGAAGATGCATGTTGCAATCCTCAATTTATTCACATGGATTGTGCTGCTCAGCTTGCCATCTCTAGTTTATTGGTTAAAGAATCTCAGGTAAGTTCTTAAAGTGGCACCAAGTTGGGAAAAAAGGAACACGAACCTTTAAAGAAGTATTAATAGTAAATGTGTGACTACATTATTAGCTACCTTAGAGTATGAAAGACTTCCGTTAAATATTACTGGTTTTTCTACTCAATCTGGTTTGTGTTATGGTCTAAGTAGGTGCAAAGTTGAATCAGTGATATGTTGGAGAAAGTGACAGTTCAGAGAGGATTTAAGATCAGGCTGTGATGCCATGTAGATTTCATGTACATTTGTTGCTGTCAGCACATGCTTGTTCCCAAGGTGGATGGTACTGGGTAGTCTAGCTTAGAAGTTACAATCTTTTTAAACCTTGTGTTTGCAGGTACAATTTTAGACTCGATCCTGATCCATGTAGATCCACAGCTGTTATCATCGTATGCATTTTAGAAATTCTAATGTATTCAAGCACTTCTGAAGTGAAATCAAGGTACTGTAGCCTAATCTCTAGTTTTGTTCTCCTACCTCTTCTTCACTTACCATTTGTGTGGTAAAACTTAATTTATGCTGTACAGACCTGTAATTTTTCAGCCTATGTAGAGATTCGTGAACTCATATGGTTAAATCTGACAGACTCAGTAAAATGTGTTCAAATTGCCTCTAGTGCAGCTAAGTGGAGAAAATCCTCTGTACTTACATATGGAAATAAATGAAGCATATGCTATCTAAGCAGTCAGTTACATAACTTTATCTGTGACTTTTTCATTCACATTCATTGAATCCTTTCAAATGTTACAGAATCCCAATGCATTTAGCAATTATTGTCACAAAGTTACAAGGAAAACTGTAGTTATGTTCTTGTTGCTCCCCTTATGGGCACTCTTGTGGAAGTACAGTGTTTTCTACTGAATTAAGAAGTTTTGAGCACTTGGTTTTGCTGGCAGGTTAGAGCATTTCTTGTTCAGATATGAAATTAGTTGATGCTTCATGAGTGACAATGAATAATAACAAATGTCACTTACTCTCCTGACCAGTACATGTTATCTCAAGTGATCTAAACCATTAAATCTTTCTTTGTTATGGAGAACTTATTTCTAAATTAATATGACTATTTTTAAAATGACATTTGATTAGCCTTTTTGAATAGTTTCTCTTGGTTATGAGTCAATGGTTATTGCCCATTAGATCTATCTGTTTAGTTTCAAAAATGAACAAAGCCTTGAAATAGGAAAGTGAATTATGGTATTTGCATACAAAAAATGGTGATATTTGTCTTTGTATTCCTACAGTAAACTCTTGAGGATTGCAGCCAAAGTTCCACTCCCTCTGTCTGTTGCAATGCTGGCCTTTGGACGAATGCATTTGTACAGAGTACCACACTTTGTGACCTTTTCTCTTCTCCTACACGTGCTGTGCTGTATTGTGTAGTGTTCTTCATGGGAAGGACAGTGCACCCTGGAAATTTAACACTGGAGATGGGGCAAAGTTCAACAAAGAAATGCCTGAATTAATATCATCAGTAGTTTACATTATGTGTGAAAGAGGACAGAACTGTGAATACTCTGTGGAAACGTTCCTGGTTCTGTTCATGTTGCTTAGAAAACTTTTCATGGTGTTTATTTCCTGACTCTGAAAACAAAGTGATTTAACTGTGTGTAAGCACATAAATCGTATCAGTACAACATCTCAATACTCTGCCTTGTAGACACTTTGATATTTCACTTTACTGCTTTGTTGAAACAGACTTCTTTTACTCACTGTGCCATACAGTGTGTATGTTCTGAACTTGCATCTCCTGCAGGTCTGAAGTATGCTGGTTAAAACTCAATACATTTCAAGCACACTGTGACTATCACAAAAACTACACAGCCAAGTAGACTCTACATTTACAAGCTGCCACAGTTGTGTCTAGACAAACTAGAATGTACTGCTTCTATAGAACTGTTACCATTATCAAATCATCTGTTCAATCAGTGTGAGTTGAACATTTGTGAGATTATTGAAAGTCTTACACATTTTACTTTTTGTGAGAGTGAGAAAACAACAATATTCTATGTAGCTTTCTATTCAGGAAGGATACCAGCAGATTCACAAACAATTTGCTGTAATGTTGTTTTAAAACATTGTCAGTTTTCTCTGGAATTTGGAAATAACCCCTTGGACTTTGTCCACATGTGGAAGCTGGTGAACACTGAGGTATGGTGTGAGTTAGTGGTGGGGATGCTGTACTGCACTGTTTCCAAGCAGACTTGGAAAAAAGTCTGTTTTTCCTATTGTAAATGGAAAATCAACTGTCTTACAAGAAATGCTCATACAGAAACTGAGTATGGAATAGTTACAACACTGGAAACTCCTGCCCTGCCATACACTCCGAACTTCCACATGTGGACAGACTCTTGGTGATAGTGGGAAATACTGACCATAATTATTAGCTCTGTATAATCTACTATCTTAGTGCCTAGATGCTACAGTGACTGCCATTTATAATAAAGCCTAAAATAGCTCTGTGTAAGGAATTCTGTCCCCTAGGCATGTGTTTTGCCTACAGAAGTCAGTGGCCGTTAGGTTTAAATGATATATTGATTCTGTGTAGAGATGAGCCTGTTACTTGCTTCTGTGTTAGCTGTCTCTTCTCTGAGATACCTGTTATCTTCACATGGAAATACCAGACCAGCTCAATCATAGGAATAACAAGAGGAAATCTGCTGCTCACAGTCAATGAAGTGTATCCTTGATACACTAGTACAGCCAGCCCGACCCATTAATTTCATGGTATCTCATTAATCTTGCCTAAAGTGCCTCAGTTAGTTCTATCCTGCTGTTAGGGTCAATTCACTTGGGCTGGCTGGAAAGACTCAATTCACACAGTGACTTTGCAAAGTGAAGGACAAATGTGAAGTAAGCACTTGTTTTGTTCACTTACTATCCAACTCAACAGTGCAGGTTGTTAATGAGTCATTCAAACTACTGTAACTGAGTAAGGCTATTGTAGTTAGCCAAACCACTGTCACTGTTACCAGTAATCTGTGTGCTGTAATTCTAGTCTTAACCTTTTCAAAAGAAGGTTAATTATGCATAGTGTTTGTAAATCAGAAAAGTTATTTGAGTAGATTATATCTTGATATTTTCTAATCAAATGTATGCTACACTATCTGTATGTAAGATAATTTGTGTGACTATATTTGTAGCTAAATCCACCAGTTGGTTTAATTAAAAATTGCTGTTCAGACATAGAAGAATAGTTTTCCTACTTGGAAAAGGCTATGAATGAAAGGTGGTGGCAGAACTGCATTGAGGCTGGTAAAAGGCTGTCTGAGAAATGTGCAAGATCTGATTGCTGTGCAAGATAAGTTTTGGTCCTTTTGGCTTACTACTGTGTTTTACTTCTGATTTTGTTTTGCCATCTTTATGGGCTCTTTATGCTTGAATCCATTTGCTGGAACCGTTGGTGGAAAATAATAATCAGAATAAGGCAAACAGTGTCTGTATGTAGTAGCTTTGATAACTCCAAAATATGCCACAATGTGAAACCTACTGAATTACAGCAGCATAGAATAGCACCATTTTTTAAATTTAATGTGGTTTTTTTTAAGCTGGGACTTCGTTGCTAGTTGTTAGCCCTCTTCAAAAAATGGGTTCCAGTTTCTTGTATATATTCCTATCTGATTTTCAGGTTGGAGGTAGGGATAGATAAAATCCTGAGTCTGAGATCCCAGATGGTTAAGAGTTTATCACAGCTCCCTCAACACTCCCTTTTGTCAGAGGTGGTTTGCCTTCTCTGGGGGAAGGAGGAGAAGTCTTACTCCTACTTTGAAATTATGTGTGTCTGGATTCTGAAGTGATTGTGGACTGTACAACTTCAGCTGTTTGACAGATAGGAGTCTAATCCCAGTCAGGTCTTCTACATAACCAATGGGTGGGAACAGGATTAAAACAAGTCCAGGGAAAAATGTATCCATTCTGAGAGAGAATGAATTATCCTACTTGCCATTCTGAAAAGCACTAAATCTTATAACAGTCTAAACTTGGTTTTCAGGTAAATCACAGTGATTGATTGTTGTTACTTTTAGACAAGAAGCTTCTGTTAGCTCAGTCTGTAGTTCTGCCACTGTTCGCAACTAACGTTTTAGCAGAAATGTAGTCTGACCCAATATAATACTTTTAATTGCTTATGTGAGGATGTGTAAATATTGCTGAAATGTCCCTTATTATGGGTAGGCTGCATTTATAAAACAGCCTTTGGCAAATGCATTATATAATACCTCTTATTACCTTCAACTCAACTAAAATTCCAGTTTATTCTTGAAATTTTAGATTCTCTAGACTGTGTAGAAGATGATCAAGATATAAATTAACTTGTAATGGATTAGACCTCAGGATGCATTCTAAATAAGACCTGTTCATGTTTTATAACATTTCAGCATCCTGTTAAAAGGGGATTGAGGTTTTTTGGGTTTTGGTGTTTTTTGAATGTTTTATTTCAAAAGAAATTACAGTAACTGGAATTTAGGCTCATATGATTTCTAGTATTTAGAGTTCTGCTCTGATTTTGGTGTTGAGCGAGCTGATTCATGTGGCAATTCATTCCAAAATACTTGCTAAATTTTAAAACAGATTAATAATGCAGCAAAACCCTAAACAGTTGCAGAAGACAGAGAGGTTGTCTGTATGTCTGAGTGAACTTTCCATCTATATCCTAATTGAGCTACCTTGAAAGTTAGTGATTAAAAAAAAATCAAGTAAAATACATTGATACTTTAAAAATCCCCAAAACATTGCCTATATCAGTACTTGACACTCAGATTTTTCCGTGTGCTTGCCAGTAACAATGTTATGGACTTGTTACTTGACTTTCCTTTGAAATCTGAGGCATCTGCTTCTAAGTGTGGACAGGACAGAATGAAGTTGATTATGTGGCTGTGAATAAATGTAAACATTTGAGAAGCTTTCATTTGTATCAAGTTTATTTCAGTACAGTGATGAGTGTGTTTAGACTTCTGTTTTATTTGTGCTGAGACAACACCAGCCATTGACAGATCTTCAATACTCAATACCTGCAATAGTTATGAAGATGTTTTTGGAGGCAGTTGCAGTGTCTGTGTAGAGTTGTGCTCCTGTTTTAAGTCACTAAGCTACTAGAAAATTCTTAGTTGTAAAACACACTAAATTCTTAATGCTCGTTTTCCATTTAATGGTGAATGTTTCTCGTTGAATTTACAGCTTTGGCATTTTGCATCTTTTTTTTTTTTCTTTTTTTCCCTGGGAGATAATCTGGATAGCTCCTGTAAGCATTTAGCCCTGTACTTTAAAATACTTTAAAGTTTTCATCACTGTTGCTGTAGGGGAGACACACGTTTGTCACGAGAGCTGCTGTGGTATACCCTCTAGGAAATGTGTGCCAGTGAGTGACAATTCACAACTAATCCATTTTTTATGTTAAAGTAAAATCATTTTTCTACCCTTATTTTAGAGTCATAACTTTAAGAAAGTATACTAGAATCCATAGAATCTTTAAAAATTTATTTGAAAACTTTTTGCAAAGATTATACTTTCTGATTTATATTCTTACTTATGGAAGAATGTGTTCAAAGCTTTTAATCAGCTCATCTATCTTAAAACTTAAATAAAATCTATGTTTTGTCTTATTAATAACATTCCTTCTATTAAGAAGAGAATTTAAGCAATGAAGGGGAAAATTCCATAAGCAAGCCTGCCCAGCACCTGAATTTTTTAGGTGTCTAAGCACATATCTGCCTCAAATATGTGCTTGTTGCCTTGTAGCTTGGAAACCTGAGCTGTGATGCTTTGACTTTTCTTTTGCAGAAGATTTGGGGTCTCATGATGCATTCTGAAATGCAGACAGATGTTGCAACTGGTGCTGTCATAATCCTTGTAAGCATCGACTCTCTGCAGTGATTGGCAGGTTGTAGATTCTGTAGGAATCTGTACGGTGTCAGAGCTAATTGTGTGTCTGTAAAATCAGGAATGGCACACAGAAACATGTTATTTGGTGGCACAACCTTCAATTTTGTCCTTCCATGTGCATATATCTTTGGTTTGCAGTGTCCTTCTGCTGTAGTACAAAGCAGAATGTTCACAGGAGCAATAGGCACCATGACTGGCCTGGTGAGGCACAGCAGCTCTCCTGTAGACTTGTTCTGTTGCAGCTTTGCCTGTTAGTTGAAACACCAGCCAACACTGCTTTTTTCCCCTCCAACTTAAATAATTTCAGGGTATGTATATTAAGCTTCAAACATGCAAGTGTTTGATGCTCATTTTTGCAAAAGGCCAAGTGCACTATCTTGGGACCAATTCAGGCTTCAGTATTTTCCACCTACATCAGTTTGAGTGTGAAAACAGTGTTTGAGACTGCAGCACCTGGGAACTGAAATGTTGTACAGAAGTCTACAAGGGGTAGACAGGACACACAGAATTAGAGTGCTAGACCAAAACTGAAATGTGAAATTCCTCACTGTGACTTTTAAACTTGTAGCTTTCTAGGGGGGAAAAAAAAGTATTAAAAAATCCTGTGCCTTAAACCAGTAAATGGATACACTCCGACTGTAGCCTGTGGACTTCTGTAGCCTTACATTTGATTTCTGAAGTTGACCAAAAAACTTTGTGTGGATCATACTGAAACTTGATTAAAAAACTTACTTTGACCCTGTTTTACACTTAGAGAAATGGAGATTTATGACAAGTACAGTATATTTTTGGTTTGGAATCGCACAAGCCAAAGTCAGGAAGCTTTAGCTGACCTTAATTTCTCATGTCCTTCTGTTATGACAAAAACAAAAGTAAGGAAGGAAAGCTAGTCTCACATATCTGTCTCACCTGTGTGTCACATGATTTTAAAACATTTTGTTCTTTAGTTTCTTCAAAATAAAAAAGCAAAATACTGTATTTAAGCCATTGATTATCAAAATTACACTAGTTGAGAAAACAACTAGATGGGGGTGGAGCTGATTGTGTTAAGACTTCAGAAATTTTGAATAATAAATTTCACTTTTTAGAAAAACTATTCATATGTAAATCCCTGAAGAACTGTGTGTAAATTACCTTTCTTGAGGGGAGGGTTATACATTGTTCTTCCTAATTCATTACAGAAAGCAAGAAATAGTTAAGATCTTAAAATCTTGTTTTAATACAGTGTAAGAATTTCTGATGTATATTTTTTAATAGGAAGAGCCACCACTGGCTTTCCTTGTGTGTCTACAGGATTCTTTGTATGTTCTGTGCATACCCTGCAAGTTCTGACTTCCCCACCTTCCCCTACTAGCACTGTCATTAAAAATGATGCCATCTCCAAGGTTACTGTGCTGAGGATAGTTAGATCTGCACACAAAATGCTGCATGTCAGCTGACCACAGGAGTTGTTTGAAACAATACAAATCGAAGTGATTAACCTTCTTTTGTTGAGAACCAACTTCAGCCTGGGTGGCACAATGCTGCTGATGCTATGGCACAACAGGTAATTTGTAATCAATCTGTTAATTATAATCATACAGTTTTATGTCTTCCCTGCTACTTCTTTCTGTTAGTTTAGGACTTTTAAAACTCATTCCAGTCACCTAACTTTTTGTTTTGTGATGCTGTTTCAGTCATCCTGAATTCATTGGTGATTTCCTAGCTACAGGAATATTCTGCTATTGAAATCACTAAGAGGGTACAACTACCTCTAAGGCCTTTTTCTATGACGATAACTTGAGCAGAACTGTGTAACTTGATTCTCCACTTACCTTTTAATTGTTTCTCCAAGCATAAAGAGGAAATAATGTTGTCCAGAATACTGGTTTGGGTAATTAGAGGGGAGGGAGTTGTTCTTTTGGTTTGGTTTTAAGAGGACGTAAACCTTTGAAGAACATACGTAACTTCTGGGAAAATCTATCACTTCACAAGCAAATGTAACTGCTGGGAAAATCTATCACTTCACAAGCAACTTCTTACATGTTTGTAACTCCTCCTGTTCTCAGTTTTTGTATAGCTACTGTAAATCTGCTGTTGTACATGGAGGTAACTCTTCCTAGTTACAGGTTTCTAGAGGTGTTGACAGGGTCTTATCTATAAATGTTTGAATAATGCTATAGTAAATTATTGTGCTTATTAAAATGTTTATAACTAATCCTTAGATATCATGCCATGCATCATGAGCTTTAGCAAAGTCCTTGTGTGAGATGCTGAGAAGACCTTGGAGAAGGACGTGTTTTCAGCTAAGGCTGAAATAGCTGTAAGCTGAAATCTCATAGGCTTTAAAAACTGCTTTTAGATACCAGTACTTTTTTGTTGTAGTTGAGAGCAGTGTGATTGGGAGCTACTCTGGGATGTTCATGTTTTGTTTGATGGTTTCCCTGTCTGTAGGGTATACTTCAAATTTTATTTGTCCTTTTTTTTTTACCTAAGTGTGCATGACTAAGAGTACATTGTATAGCACATCCCCTGCTAAATAAACACTCCTGTATATTTTTGTATGGTTGCATTAGTACAAATGGTTGTAATTCACAAAAAGTGCCACTTACCAGCCATCCTCTGTAGAGTGTTGTGAGTGTTACCTGTACTTCTGTTGTACAAACACGCTCATGAGTGTTGTGATGGACGTTTGCCTTTGCTCAGGTACTCATGTGGAGCAGTTTGGTGCTTTTCCTTCTGACTTGTAATACTCGGGATTCTAAGCAGAAAATAAAAGCAGTAAACAAAAGCTGTACTTTAACAGGTGCTTTTTTTCACATCTCAAGTGAATACAATAAAGATGGTACTGGATGCAGCTTGTCTGAGGATCTTAACTCAGACACCTTAGGCTGTTACACCTGCCTTGCTGTCATGAATGGGAAAGGCAGTGAAACTGGGGAGTAATACATATATAGAGTGTCATATGTACAAAACTTGTTCTCAGCTAAACTATTGCATTTCAGATTTTTACCTGTTTCAGGTAAATTGCTTGAAACTGAACAGTGCTATGAGCATTTTCAGCTTCAGTGCAGTTTAATTCAAACATACATGAATATTACTTACTGTGTCATAAAGGGTATATGATTAGTATAGCCACTCTGAAGAGATTTGATTTACTGAAGATGTGTGTCTATATACAGAGTTTGCCAAGAAAACCTGATGCTTGAATTTGGGTGTGTTAAAAAGGCAGCACACTGCCATCTGGTTTTGAAAGCATTTATTAGCTACTGTTCTCAAAGGAGGATGCAGTTTTGTTCAGTCAGTGTAAGTATTTAAATATGAATATGTTCTGCTTGTATTTGACTTTCTCTGAAGGAAAGAGCTATAATGAAATTATTTTCAAACCCCTGTACATTAAAATGAGCCCTAAGCCTAAACAGACTTTTGGCTCCAACAGTTTCTCAAACTCTTTTAGCTCAGGAAGCAACAATACAACTGTGAGACAGCTCACAGAAAATATATGCTAATTGAATCTCTTGCATATCTGCATATCTGCATACTTCATCAGTCACCCAAACTGCCTGAATCTCCCAGAGCAATAAAGCTTGTTTCGAATTTGCAGATGACTTTGTATGTTTGACTAGCTGAATATACTGTGCATCCCCCAGTGTGTGCTTTCTAAAGCAATCAAAGGAGTAAATGAACTGAGTGGGGGGAAAGGGGGGCAGAGAACTGCCTGCTGGCTTGGCTTTATTTTTTTAATAAGTATCTAACTAGAAAACCAACAAGGACAGTTCCCTTCCATTAGGGCTTGCATTTTTGCAGGTTACTCTGTTGCTACTGCTGCTCTGTTCTTGAGGAGTTCACCAGCTGGATCTTTGCTGTTGTGAAAAGTAATTGATGGGGTTTGATGGATTTTCTTTTCTGTGTATATGATTTCTTAAAAAATCCAAATCTGTAGAATAATGCACAATCGTGATAAATTGTCTTGAATTTGTGTGTGCTGCTGCAGTTATGAAAATAACACTGCTTGGATTTTGTTTACTGTGTTGCTAATGATGTTAGGATGGCCAAAACTTTGCCTTCCTGGAAGGGGGTGGTAGGGTTTTGTTTTGCTTGCAAAATACAAACCAAAGAAAGATGGAAAGCTTCTAGTCAGAAATAAACATCTGTATTCTGGAGTAAGAGACAATGGCCAAAAAACTTTCATTTGAACATGGCTATTTAGGGATATATTTTATGTGATACTAAATAATAATTTCTATAGCAAAGAGTATAGTGAAATTATAAACAAAACTGTGAGCAGCTTTGCTGTGAAGACTGCTGTGAAATAAGGCCAAGGTGAATTAGCATAGTCCTCCTTGCAGCCTTTGTCTTAGTTTCTAGTGTGACAGGAGGATATTAACTGCTGATAAAATCAGGGTAGGAAATCAATGCTTCCATTAAAATGTTACGATTTTGGATCTTGAAAGAGACCTTACTTTTCTTTCTCTTTTTCCAGGAGAACCTTATCTCATTTGCTTGAAAGCCGTTAGTCACCGTTCTAGAGACAGGACTAATTACTTTTAACGAAAAATCATATTTTGCTACAGCTCTGCTATCTCTGCTGATAATTGTTGTAAACTTATTACATGCTCACTACCAATTTTCTGCCACATGGCTTGGAAGGAATCTGTGCTGCACTGTTCGGTAGCAACAGGTCTTAAGAGTATTAAGTATGAAACTCTCAAGGGTCTTTATGTCATGGATGGAAATGGAATCATTACTGTATTTTTGAGCTCCTGCTAACGTCATTGACACCCACCTACAGTCCACTAGAAATATAAGTGCAGAGATCAGTTTGTTACAGATCACAAGGAGACCAGCAAAGAAGGGGCAAGGCACAGCCAAGTTCACTGGTAAGCTTGATTTTAAACAGTGGCAGAGGGAGAATCTTTTTCTCCCATTGAGTCAAGTTATGAAATGGGTCTCTAGTATATTTTACTATTATTGCACTTAGTGATGTATCTGGTCCAATTTAATGCCATTTTAAGAATTGAGCTCTCTGGATATCAAGCCATATTTTTGCATCCTCCTTGGAGCACACAGAGTTCTGATGCTGTAGCTAGTCAGCCACTGAAAATCGCTCTATGTAATAGCAAATGTAAGTTTATGGATGTAATATTTTGTGCTATATGTTCTACCAGTCCCTTTCAAAAGAGAATCCAGTGCCTAGAAATAGCTTTGGTATGGGAAACACTTCTTCAGAATAATTTCTTCTTTCTACTGCATTAGTACTAGGCAAACAGGAAAAAACCAGTTGATAGCACACAGATGTAATCTGCAGTAGGCAGATTTTCCTTGAATTGACATAATTGCTTAATGTGTTACCAGTGAGCTCTGTAGAGCTTAAAGAGTGTGGTTGTTTGTCCTTCTTATAGACAGTCTGTTCATATCCAACATGTGGAAAGTGCTCCTGGGTCTATATATAGTACTGGCTGTGAGAGGCTTGGCCAAGGGTGCTCCTTTCCGACCAGAAGAAAAATGGAAACCTCTAGATAACCCCAGAAACAGAGACCTGGTAAGGAAATGCTGCAAGAAAGAGAGATAAAGTTTCATGTGGGTGTTTTGCTTTCCATCAGGAGACTTTTTATCTTCTAAATTTAGTGGTAAGAGGGGCCCATTAGATGTAACGTTAGTTACTGTGCACTTTGTGTAGTCAATAACCACAACTGGATGAGCATTCTTCAGTCAAGATGTACTCCTTAACTGAGGAGACGTTCTCAGTGTGCATTAGTACATAAATCTTCCCTCTATCTCCAGTTCAGTCACCTGGACACTGTTGCTGACTCTGAAATGTCTAACATAACTGTTCTGTTTGCTCTCAGCAAGGATTTTGCTGTGCCTCTTTTATGAGGGATATAGGTGTTTTGTAAGGGATCTAGTTTGAATCCCCTGTGATGCAGTGGGGGGGCACAGATGAGTAGTAAAAACAGTTGGGGATCTTTTGACTTCATGTAAGACATGCAAACCATAGATGCAGTGGAGGTGTCTTGAGTTATGTTGCCTAAATTGTACCAGATTGTGATCAAAATGGAGGATTTCATCCCACAAAGGAACAAATATCTAATTTGTGCCAGTAGAAATAATTCCTCTCTGTTGGTTACTTATTTTCATTCTGTTCAGTTTTTCAGAACACTCCAGGCCTATTTTTTGGGCAGGGGTCTTGATCTCGGGAAGTTCCCAGTTACTTTCACCCTGAACAATGAAGGACCAAGGCCTCTCATGTTCTACTCAGACCCTATTGCTTCTGCATTTGCAGATTATGAAGAAAGGAAAAACTCTTTTCCAAACTATTTCAAAGGTTGAAAGATGCTGCTGACCACGGTAAAAGAGGATGCCTTGTCCTCTAATGTTGGTACTTGTAACCAAAAGAAAGATCTGAATTCAAGTGATTCTTACTTGTCTCTGAAGTACAAAAACAGCTTCTTTGTCAGAATAAGCTAAAAATGTAGTACTTTAACTCTTTCCTGAAACTTTTAAAATTCTCAAGGTAGAGGTTTATGAGGTATTTACTACTTAGATGAAATAACACATGGTGCTTGTGCAGATCTATATAGGCCATGCTTTTATATTTCCTCCTCTTTTTCCCCTTTCACGTGGAGAAGAACTCTGAAAATGTACAGAAAATAGGGAATGCAGCTTTTATTCAAGTAATTGAGATCAGTAACATTCCAAATTGAGACTAATGGTTTCTCATGATATATGTATATTAAGAAGATTAATTTAGACATCTCTGATGTCTAAATGCTGATGTAGCAAAGAATACATTTTTGTCCATTCGTTCTGTTTCCTTTATTTATCCCACTAAAACTGAAGGTTGCTAGAAGGATTGCAACTTATCCACATCTCTCCATAAATAGAAAATAAACTTGAAGTGGGTTGAGCTTGCATTATTAGTAAATGCAGCTTCAATTATGGCAAGTACTTTTCACTTGTTTTATCTATGAATAGCCATACTCTCTAACAAATAAATCCTTGCTGATATCCCATTTTGAAAGTGAATATTGGCAATTCTGAGGCAAGGTAAATAATTGTTTTCTTCTGTTTTACAAATAGTTGAGGGTTTCAGTCAGATTTGAAAGCTTTCTGGAAGCAAAGGTCTGCTGTGCTCAGTTAGGGTGTTTCAGCCAGGGTTACCAGGTTTTGGTTCAGATCACACCTTAGTCGCATATAGACATTTCTGTGTTTGTCTCACGTATTTATAGTTCTTTTTTTCTCTTCTTCAGGCACTAACTTCTGAGCTTCATGTGGAGTGGTAACATTCACAGCCAGATCTTACTGCTTTGACTTCTTAACTGTCACCTGACAATTAAAAATGTTCCTCACGACCCGTTTCTACCTGTGGAACCTGATGCTATGCTGTAACCAGCACATATTCTGTCTGTTGACAAACATGTGCTGTTTGGCTACTGCAGAGTTGTGTTTTAAGTGTGAATAAACGAGGAGTGCAGCAGAGTGCTTTTAACTACTGCTCGGTGTCTTTGTTCACAACCGCCACACAAATGTTCCCTTGGGTTCGTTCGAAACAGACGCCGTGTTTTGTGGCAGCTTTTCGGGTGCTCTTTTGACACAAATCCTCTCGTTCCCAGGGAGGTTGGGGTGAAACAGATGTCATAAGGTGTTTAGTGGCAGGTTTTCAGGTGCTCTTTTGGTACAAATCCTTTCCAGGGAGGCTGAGGTGAACGGGGCAGGTGCTGGGGACCCCTCACACCCACTTATGACTGGTCACTCAGACACCTGCACCATCCCTCTGTGTTTATGGAGCTAAGAACTCAGGTCAGGTGTCTGAGGAAGCACAGGACACCCCGCGGGCAGGGAGGGAGAGAGGGAGGGGGAGAGGC